TATAATCCACAACACATAACTCTGATACAGTGAGACAACAACACACCAGGGATTTGGGGTTTGGGAAGGGAGAGGCAGACAGAGAAGCAATGTTGTCAGGGAAGGCATTGGCAGTGGTGGAGAAATTCAGGTGCTTTGGGACAGGGAACATTAACAAGGAGGCTGAGGCAGTGGTACACATTTGGACCTATTCCTGAGTACTGGTAAGACACAGGGACTCCATCACATAGTTAACAGGATCTTTGAGGAAGAGTTGAGATCCTGCAGGTGGGGCTGTGAGCTTGCAAAATTTGGGTATTAATAACTTATTCATTCCCTCGGGTTGGTGGAACGAGGACATTTGGGTTACACAAAGTTTTAAGTATTCACAAGATTATTTATTCCCTTTAGTGGGTCTCCTGTGAATTTTAATCATCTTTTTCACTTCTTTCTGTGATATTTCCAGAAGGAAGAAAACTAACATCAAAGTGCCTCACTACATACTATGTTAGGTTTAGTCAGGTTACCCTGTAAGACGTCTCTTTTTTACAAACAAATGAGAAATTGGGGGATAAAATGGGTCAAGTAACTTACCCAAGGCCACGGCTGTTTATTAACAGACTAGGATGAATTATTCCCAATGTGTGACACAATCCTGTTGGGGCTCAGACCATGATTCCCCAAAGCACAGAGCTTTGGCATGCTGAGTACTTTGCACTGAAGGAAAATGGGAGGCCCTCAGAGGTAAGAAGTTCTCTCTGACCTTTTCCTGCTCTCCTTTCTTCTTCACCTATTTCTCCTTCAAAGTATCTCATAGAAACAAGAATTCCTCTTCCCCAAAGAAAGCTATAAAACCTGGAAATGTCACTCTCTGTCCTTCTGTCTTCTTCCCTGAAAACCCTCATGTTACAGGTGTCCTGTCCTATACCAGGAGGAAGGAATGTTACACAGAGAGGCTGAAAAGAATCTGAACAAACAGGCCTTGCTGGATTTCCCCTTCAGTTTATTGCCATTTGCGTGTACTTTTTGTCCAATCTCATTTCTACACAGTGTTAACCAAACATAAAATACAGTTTTCTCCGGGTCTTTGCATCTTCATTTCTGAAGGTTCCCCTCTCACATAAAATGTTGATTAAATAAATTTGTTACGTTTTTCCCTTGCTAATCTGTCTTTTATTATAGGAGAGTTGGCTGTGACCCTTGTGATGAATGAGAAGAGGTATTACTTTTTCACCCCTACACTCCCATGGGTATGTCCAGGGTTACACGCAATTCCTCACATGCTAACTAAGACACAATCCCACAAGAAAGCCTATCAGTAGACAATTGCATGACACTGACACGATTATAACTGGAAACTCAAATCTACTGTTATATATATTAAATTGTGTTAAAATACACATAAGATAAAGTTTACCATCTTAACCATTTTAAAATGAACAGTTTGGTGATGGTATTAAGTGCATTCCCATTATCGTGCAACCATTACCACGATCCATCTCCAGAACTCTTTTCACCTTGCAAAGCTGAAACTCTGTACCCATTTAATACTGTAATATATCTTCAAGAAAATAACTTGCCGACATTGCTTATCTATCTATTATTTCTAATACATTAATTGTGGTGACCACAATCCACTTCTATGTTATGACACCTCAGCTGGAAAGGCTGCCCTGCCATATGCCATTCAAGATGTATAGTAAAATTCTGAAGACCCACTAAGTTACCTACCCATGATGGACCAAACACCCAGGCATTGCCTTGAAAACACAGGGGTGGACTCGCAGAGCCTTTTGTGGACTGGTGCCACGTTCAAAGTTCAGGCCCGGAGTTGGATGGCCTCCCATAGGGAATGGAGCATGGCTACTTTGATTGAGAACTCTTCTCTGAGCAAGGGTCTTTAAACAAAGTCAGTTAAGTTAGAAAAACAAGCCAACTCTCCATCATGTTGTGGCCCTAAATATGACAGAAACAGATTCATGTGTACATTCGATTTATTCATGCCCTAGAGACAGACCTAGGAAAGGATGCACAGTCTTGAATATGGATTCCCTGTCCTGGAATTTTCCTTTCTGGGTCCCTCTACCCTCACTGCAAATTTGGGGACAGGAGTACGGGTCTTCCTCTAATTTTTGCATTCATTTCTCATCCATTGCTCTCTTGGTGTCTTTCTCCCTGCCTTCCATTTCTGAAAACATGGAGGAAATATGTTCATCACTGCATGAAATTGTCCAGCTAAATTAAAACTTCTTGAAGGCAAACACTGCATTTTTTATTTAAATATTTTCAATATGCATTAGTATTCAATAATAAAGACACAGAATAGAAACCAAAGTACTCCTCTTTCCTCTTTGTATAAACAATCTCTCATTGCTGGTAAGGGATCATGTATAAGTCAGATAAGAATAATAACAGCAGGCATGAATTAAGAACTACCCCTTGATCTAAGGGTCTTTTACATATCAAGGAATCCTGTGTTCCCAAGCCTCACATGTCAGTCAGACTCCAGCTAATCTCATGCCAGGTTTATCAGAAAGAATTCAGGAGTTACAAGAAACATGGGAGCTTAACTACAACATCTGTTACAGTTGTATCAAGCAATTTCAACCTTGAAATGAAGTCCGAGGGTTAAAAAACTGTACAAGTATATATATTTTATTTTGCTTTTTTGAGACAGAATCTCTCTCTGTCACCTAGGTTGGAGTGCATTGGCACAATCTTAGCTTACTACAGCCTCGACCTCCCAGACTCCAGCAATCTTTCCACCTCAACCTTCTGAGTAGCTGGGACCACAGGCATGCACCACCACACTTGGCTAATTTTTTTATTTTTTGTAGAGATAGGGTCTCACTGTGTTGCCCAGGCTGGTATCGAATTCCCGGGCTCAAGTGATCCTCCTGCCTCCACCTCCCAAACTGCTGGGATTACAGGGATGGGCCACTGTGCCTGGTGTAAGCATATTTTTAAGAGTCTTGTTTCACTATGGAACCTGATTGTCTTGCTCTAGAAAGGCATTTTTATTTCACAGATTCTATGCTTACCTCCCTCACTTTTCTCCTCAGTGAATTATTGAAATATGGAACCAATAAATAGTCTTTAGCATCTAAATCAAACACATTGCAAAGCCTGGTATCATTAATAGTGTTAACTCATTTGAACTTCACAATAACCCTATGAGGCAGGTACCATCATTACACCCATTTACAAATAAGAGCTCTAAGTAACAAGAGATGAGAACTTATTCAAAAATACAGCTCCAGATAGCATAACTTCAGGTCTTGTGCTTTTAACCCCTATCCATTGTACTTCTGAGTTGGGTCTACTTATGTACATTGCAAAAAAAAAAAAAAAAAAAAAAAATCTACTAACTAGAATAGAAAGAAAGGATTGCTCTTATTATATTCTTCAGGTAGATAGAATTATGCATCAAATCATTTAAAATTTTAGTCATCATCAAAAATCTTGCTTTAGGAAACACAGCAGTTATAATAATGGATTCTTTATTAGACGAAGCTCTGACCACAATAGTTGATCCCATCCTCTTTCTTCTCCATGCCTTCTCTTTGGCCCTATCAGGAACTCAGGTCCTTCTAGCCTTCCTCAAGGCCTCATTCTTTACCAGAGCAAACCTATCCCTTCAGATGAATCACTAACAGCTCTCCTGCTGTGCCTTCAACATCCCAGCAGGCTTATCATTTTGCTAGTGCGATGAGAAATTCACAACCTCTGACCTCAGCTGGGCCTCAGTATCACTGTGCAATGCTTTCCTGTGTTTCTGCTTTCTTGCAAGGGATACCTAAACTCTCCCCACGTCCTTTACACCTCTGCCCACTTCCTTTAAACCTCTAGTCCTGTCCTCATTGAGTTGAGTGACGGGCAAGTCATGTAAAAGCTCTATGTCTTACTCTCTTAATCTATAAGAAGATTAACTTAGATTAGTATTTTTCAAATTTCATCCAGATCTATGAACATTGTATGTCTTTTCTAGTATTGAAGCCTTCTTTTGTTTTCCTCTGCAATATTTTGTAGCTTTCAGTGTATCTGTATTGTATTTTCATTTATACCCAAGTATTTTGCATGTTTGATGTTGTTATAAATAAACTTGTAAAATATTTTAATTGCTTGTTGATAGTATATAAGAAGTATAAGTATATTGACTTTGTAACCTACAGCCTTGCTAAATCCACTTATTAGTTCAGTTGGTTGTTACAGATTCTTTACTTTTTTTTTTTTTTTTTAAGAAGTAGATGTATTTTACCATGGAGCTCACTAAGAAATCCTTAAATAGACAACTGAGAATGGTATACATTGGGTTGTAAGAGACAATTCTACCTGATCACTCAGGAAGTAATGAAAACCATTTCATTATCAGTTAGTTTGAGTTCCGATGTGTTCAGGTTTCTCTTCTAGAGTTGCTCAAGACTGGTGATGCCTTCACTGTGGGTGGGCTACCTGCCCTTGCCTCTTGCCAGTCTGAGATGCTGCTTCTTGCCTCCAACACTCTGCACCATGCTGGCTGCCAGCTGGGTCTCCACCTCTCATTTGAAGATTAGCTTCTCATACACCCTCTCTTTGCCTTGAGAGCTGGTTGGGCAGTATATTCTGACTCAACAAGCACTTTGTTCCATGCTTCACACTCTGGTAGTCATGGAAGAGAAGAGTGTGAGGAAAGAATGGTTTCTAGTGCTTAGAAACTGAGATAAAAAAGAATCCTAGGCTGGGCATAGTGGCTCATGCCCATAATCCCAGCACTTTGAGAGGCTGAGGCAGGAGAATCACTTGAGCGCAGGAGTTTGAGAACAGCCTGGGCAACATAGCAAGACCCCATCAACAAAAAAAAATTAGCCAGATGTGGTGGTGTGCACCTGTAGTCTCGCCTACTCGGGAGGCTGAGGCAGGAGGATCCCTTGAGCCAGGGAGTTTGAGGGTGCAGTGAGCCATGATTTTGCCACTGCACTCCAGTTTGGGAGACAGAAACAGAGCAAGATCCCGTCTCAAGAAAAAAAAAAAAAAAAAAAAAAGAATCACGCCTTGAACAGAAGAACAGACTTCTGATACTTTCTGTGTGAACCATTAAGCTTCCAGGCTGCAGGAGTCCAGTGGCTTTTCTACTTCGCCTTTGCGATCAGTTGTCATGTAGGCAGGGTAGGGATGGAGGAGTGAAAGGAGTTACCTAGGAAATCACAATAGAAGGTACACAGAAAAGCAGCCATTGTATTTGACCCCACCCCACACTCTTTCAGTTCTCTTCATTACTCAGTAATAGTAGAATAATCTGAACACTGTACATATATATTCACAGTATTTTAAGATGTGAAAGTATATTCAGGACTTCTCATGAATTTTAATTGGGTTCACCAGTATTAAAAACTGGATCTTCTTGCTCTTTGTTTTTGATCTTTCACTTCCGTGGCCTGTTGTCTTTCCTCCTTCACAACATTGGTCGCACTCTCTCATAACTGCCTATCCACTACAAGACTGAGTTTTGAGGGGCAGGCCTTATATGTGATATGGTCAGAGGTTATCCCTGTGCCCCGTACACTACCAGGAACAATGGGAGGGGATCATTCCTTAGGATTTTCCATGCAAGCAATCATGTTGTCTGTGAAGACAGACAATTTTACTTTGTTCTTATCAATCTTCATGACTTCTTTTTCTTGCCTATGGCACTGGCTAATTCCTTCTAAATGTCATATGGAAGTGATAAGAGCAGACATCCTTACTTTGTCTTTCATTGCAGGGAAAAAACATTTAGTACTTTACTATTAAGAATTATGTTAAATGTAAGATTTCTTCATAAATGCCTTTTATCATCTTAAAGGGCATTTAGGACGCCCTTCCTATTTTAGCATTTAAGCTTCTTCCTATTTTGCCAACCCTTTTAAAAATAAATGAATGCTGGATTTTGTCAAAAACTTTTTTGACATCTATTTTGTTAATCATATGCTTTTCCTCCTTTATCTTCTTAGTCTGGTTAATTAAAATAATTGATTTTTTAATGTTAAACTACCCTTACATTTCTGAGATAAATCCTATTTTTGCTATAATGTATTATTTGCTGGGTTTTATTTGGAAATATTTTATTAGACATGTTTTTATGTACATTCATAAGGTATACTGATTTTTAGATTTTTTTGAAAATGAAATGTTTTGGTATCAAGGCCATCTGCCCTCTTAAAACAAATTGGAAATTATTTTTCCATTTTCTAAAAAGGAATGTGTAAGATTACTATTATTTCCCTTTAAATGTTTGATAGAACTCACTGGTGAAGCGATCTGGACCTCAAATTTTCTTTGTAGAAGGTTTTTAGTTATTCATTTTTTAATGGAGACAGGATTTCATCATGTTGTCCAAGCTGGTCTTGAACTCCTGGGCTCAAGCTATCTGCCTGCTTTATCTACAGGCTCAGCCTGTAGATTTTTAATTATGCATTTTTTTCACAGATATAGGGCTATTAACAATTTTTTACCATTTCAAAAAGTACCTTTTGGTAAATCATGCTTTCTAGGAAAATTTTTCACTGTCAAATTAAATGACATAAAGCTTTTGTAATATTTCTTTAATAACTGTAGGATCTGCATATATCCCTTTTTTCATTACTGAAATTGGTAATTTGTGATTTCCCTCCTTCTCCCTCCACTTTTTTTAAAAACCAGTCTAGGTAAAAATTTAGTAATTTTATTCATCTTTTTACAGAACGAACTTATGGCTTTTTTTTTTTTTTTTTTTTTACTTTGTTTCTACTTGTATTTATCATATCCTTTCTTCCATGTACTTTGGGTTTAATTTGCTCTTCATTTTCCAGCTATTTAAGATGAGAAGTTATAGCATTGATTTTCATCCTTCCTCTAGCCCTCCTTCTCTCTTTCTCTCTGTCTCTCTCTCTTAAAAAAGTATTTAAACTATAAATGTCCCTCTAAGTATTGATTTAACTGCATCTCATAAATTTGGATAGACTGTATTTTTATTATTCATTTTGAAATATTTCCAAATTTCTCATGTGATTTATCCTTTGAATCATGAGCTATTCAGAAGATTATTAATTTATTTCCAAATAATTGGAGATTTTTCTAGATATTTTAAATTGAAATTTTATTCTGTTTATTCCATTGTGGTCAGATAACTCATAGTCAGTATGATTTCAGTCTTTCAAAATTTATTGAGACTTGTTTTATAGCCCAGAACATAGCCTATTTTGGTGAATTTCCTGTCCCATTGAAAAGAGTGTGTATTCTGGAATTAATGGTTAGATTTACACGGATTTGTCTACTTGCTCCATCAATTATTCATAGTGAAATGTTAAAATTTCCATCTATAATTTTGGATTTATTTATCCCTTATTTCTGTCAGTTTTAATGCATGTAGTTTGAAAAATCTGTTATTAGGTGAAATCCTTTCATCTTTATTAAAAGACCTCTTTAATGTTGATATTATTCCTTATCTAGATACTTACTTTGAGATTACTACAGACACACTGAATATCTTATGATTGGTGTTTGATAGGGTTTAGCTCTGTGTTCCTATCCAAATGTCATCTTGAATTATAATTCAAATTGTAATTCCCACGTGTTGGAGGAGGGACCTCGTGGGAGGTGATTAGATCATGGGGGCAGTTCCCTCATGCTGTTCTCATGACAACAAGTGAGTTCTCATGAGATCTTATGGTTTTGTGAGGGGCTTTTCCCCGCTTCACTTGGTGCTTCTTTCTCCTGCTGCCATGTGAAGAAGGACGTATTTGCTTCCCCTTCCGCCATGATTACAAGTTTCCTGAGGCCTTCCCAGTCAAGCTGAACTGTGAGTCAGTTATACCTCTACCTTTATAATTTATCCAGTCTTGGGTATTTCTTCATAGCAGCATGAAAACGAACTAATGCAGTGTTTGCATGGTACATCTTTTTCCATTTTTGCTTTTAATCTGTTTGAGTCTTTATATTTAACATAAGTTCTTGTAAACTGCATGAAGTTGGACCTAGCTTCTTTTTAGCTCTGGCAATCTCTTCCTTTTATTTTAATAATCTAGTTCATTGACCTTTAATGTAATTATTGCTATGATTTGGTTGTAATATTTCTATTTGTTTTTCCTTTCCTAGGTTTTTTTCCCTCCGTTTTTATTTTGGGTTCATTCAATGTTTTTTAGTATTTCATTCTAACTCTTTAATTGGATTTTAGCTATTCCTTTTTGTATTTTTTTTTAAATGACTGCTCTAGGAACTGCAATATGCAGCATTTTGTCACTATCTTTCTTGAATTAATATTATCCCACTTCACATATTAGACACTTAACAACGGTATAATTTTGTTTATATCCTCTCTTGTCTTTGTACTATTGTTATGTGTTCTATGTCTATACATGCTTTAAATCCCACATTAGTTTGTATTATTTCTCCTTAAACTGTCAAATAACTTTTAAAGAGTTTAAGTAAGCACTTTAAACCATTTGTTTATCATTTCTTTGCTCTTTATTCCTTCCTGTAGATACAAATTTGTTATTATATTCCTTCAATTTGAAAAATTTTCTTTAGAATTTCTTATAGTGCAAGTGAAGTGTGACTAACTGTATTTATTTTACCTTCAGTTTTGCCAGACATTTTCACTGACTAAAACACAGATGCTCCTCACCTTGGAGGAGCATCTTGGAGTAACATCCTGATAATCCCATTGCAAATTTAAAATGCCATAAATTGAAAATGCATTCAAATGCACCTAATCTGCCTAACATCACAGCTTAGACTAGCCTACCTTAAACATGCTCAGAACATTCCCATTGGTCTACAGCTGGGAAAAATCATTCAACGCAAAGCCAATTTTATAATAAGGTATTGAATATCTCATGTAATTTATGGAATATTATACTGAAAGTAAAAAACAGAATGGTTGTATGGGTACATGAAGTACAGTTTCTGCTGAATGCATATCACTTTCATACCATCATAAAATTGAAAAATCCTAAGTCAAACCATCATAAGTCAAGGACTGTCTGTATTTTGTAAAATTCAGCTTTCTTTTCAGTCATTCTATTCTCTTCTGACCTTCACTGCTTCTGATCTGAGTCAACTCATTCATATTATTGGTTTCCTATATATGTCTTTTCTCTCTCTCTCTCTTTTGTCATGTTAGAATTTTCTGTTTATCTTTTATTTTCAACAGTGCTTTCTTTGTATATCCTGCTCGAGGTTTGCTGAGCTTTCTGGGTCTATGGCTGACAAAATGTGAAAAAATTTCAGCCAGTATTTTTTTAACAGCTTTATAAAGATTTAGTTTATGTACTAAACAATTCACCTACTTAAAATGTACAATTGAATGGTTTTTAGTCTACTTACAGATTTGTACAATGATCGCCACACTTATAACATTTTAATTACTCCCAAAAGAGATCCTGTACCTGTTAGCAGCCACTCCCTGTTCCTCTTCTCCACATTCCAGCTGTAGGCAACCACTACTCTACTTTGTCTCTCTATAAATTTGCCTATTCTGGACATGTCTCAGTCAATGTGTTTTTAATTAACTATCTGATTGATACTGTTTCACATCTTACTGAGATTCTGCTTATGCCTATTCTGTTTTAACTTTATTCTTCAGATTCAATTATTTCTATTGATCTAACTAAAAGTTTACTAACTCTTTATTCAACTATTACGCTCATCCTGTGAATCTTAAAATTTGAGATAGTCTTCTTTGCAGTTATAGAATTTTCATTTTTTTCTTTTTAGTTTCTATGTCTCTGCTAAGATTTCTCTTCTATTTATTGATTATGGTAATTTTTAAGTTCCCTGAATGTATTTATGAAAACATCTTTAAAGTCCTTATTCACTTATTTCAACATAGGAATGCTCTTAGGTTGGTTTCTATTTGCTGATTCCTCAGTTTACTATGGGTCACATTTCCCTGTTTTGTTTTCACATGTCTAATTTTTAATGTACACTGGTCAATGTGGATAATATGTCATAGAGGTTCTGGGCTTTATTATCTCTTTCTTTTTTTTTTTTTTTTTAAGGGACAGGGTCTTGCTCTGTTGCCTAGGCTGGAGTGCAGTTGCATGATTATAGCTCACTGTAGCCTTGAACTCCTGGGCTCAAGTGATCCTCCCACCTCAGCCTCGCAGGTAACTGGGGCTACAGGTGCACACCACTACACCTAGAAAATTTTAAAATATTTTGTAGAGAAAGAGTCTA